CTGCATAGCGGACAAGCAGACAATATATACTGACAGGTCTGCATAGACAAGCAGATATACTGACAGGTCTGCATAGACAAGCAGATATACTGACAGGTCTGCATAGACAAGCAGATATACTACTGCATAGACAGATATACTGACAGGTCTGCATAGGACAAGCAGATATACTGACAAGACAAGCGGATATACTGACAGGTCTGCATAGACAAGCAAGACAGGTCTGCATAGCAGATATACTGACAGGTCTGCATAGACAAGCAGATATATACTGACAGGTCTCTGCATAGACAAGCAGATATAGACGGATATACTGACAGGTCTGCATGGACAAGCAGATATACTGACAGGTCTGCATAGACAAGCAGCAGATATACTGACAGGTCTGCATAGACAAGCAGATATATACTGACTGACAGGTCTGGCAGATATACTGACATAGACAAGCAGATATATACTGACAGGTCTGCATGGACAAGCAGATATACTGCATGGACAGGTACTGACATACACATAGACAAGCAGATATACTGACAGGTCTGCATAGACAAGCAGATATACTGACAGGTCTGCATAGACAAGCAGATATACTGACAGGACAGGTCTGCATAGACAAGCAGATATACTGTCTGCATGGACAACTGGATATACTGACAGGTCTGCATAGACAAGCAGATATACTGACAGGTCTGCATAGACAAGCAGATATACTGACAGGTCTGCATAGACAAGCAGATATACTGACAGGTCTGCATAGACAAGCAGATATACTGACAGGTCTGCATAGACAAGCAGATATACTGACAGGTCTGCATGGACAAGCAGATATACTGACAGGTCTGCATGGACAAGCGGATATACTGACAGGTCTGCAGGAGACCTGCATGGCACCAGCGGTCTGATGATCACTAGTGTCATGCTTTACAGGCTCCTACAACAAAAAACAATAAATGCACATTTTTTTTACCTGAAAAAAAAAAAAGTGCATTTATTAATTTTTAGCAAAAGGTGAACTTATCCTTTAAACATCCCCCACTGTTACAAAACTTACAAAAACAGCCCCCTCTTTGTACCGTATGTTTAATTTATTTTGCACAGAGAATGCAACAAACACCAAAAACTCTAGAGCACAGGTGTCAAACAGGCAGCCCTCCAGCTGTTGCCCATGAGGCATTACAAGATTGACAGTTACAAGCATGGCTCGCAGAGGCATGATGGGACTTGTGGTTTCACAACGGTTGGAGGGCCGCCAGTTTGACACCCCTGCTCTAGAGGGCCGAATCATATCTCACAGCTGGAGCCCCCAAGAAATAATCTTGCAAGTGACTCAGCCCATCAGACTCCACTTATAATATATTTTTTGTAAAGTGACCTTTAAAATAGATTTTTTAATAGGCTATACACTGGTTAGGGACAGAGCTTTTCAAGGCAGTGAGGTTTTTTTTTTTTCATTAAGAAACAATTGCAGAGGGAAACATTCCCTACTGAACTGATGAGCATGTCATAATTCCTATGTGAAAGTCAATGGGATAAACACAAGATCATTTATAAATACATGTGTCAGAGGATTTAGAACTATGAAGCATTATCAGCTAAGAAACAATTTCTAGTATAAAGACAATCTATACTTACAAGACAAAAAATTGTCACAGGACGTAAGGGGCACCTTAAATAGCATATTTTAATTAAACTGCACATTACAGAGTAAGAATACTTATGAGATCAGCTGGTCAGTATCGCCCACTTTCCTAATGACATGCTATACCAAATTTTCTCCACTTTCCTGAGGTTTTTTTTTTTTTGGCTAACAGATATTTTCCCTTTCTGTATAAGGTCTACTTAAATTCAACCTCCAAATTGTTTTACAAGATAAGGCCTTGTACAGAGATGCTTCAGTTTGTGAAACAGCAGTGTGCACAGCAAGCTTTTATAAAGAATCGTCAAAGCTTTCAGCCAGCTTCATGCAACTTACTGGAAATGTATGGAGCAACACTGAGCTCTACTTTGAGGATGTTGAGCACTGATCTTCATGTGTATGCTGGCCCTCACTTAAACCAAGCTGCTAGCAGGCTTAACGAAGCTTCAGCACTACTTGAAACTTGTTGAAAGCCTGCTGACAGCCAACGCGCTCATATAGATCTGTGCTTGACAGCCCTAAACTGGAGCTGAAAGTTGCTTTAACCACTTGCCCCCAGAGGATTTACCCCCCTTCCTGACCAGGCCAATTTTTGCGATACAGCACTGTTACTTTGACTGACAATTGCACAGTCATGCAACGCTGCACCCAAATGAAATTTACGTCCTTTTTTCCCCCCCACAAATGGAGCTCTCTTTCGGTGGAATTTGATCGCCTCTAAGTTTTTATTATTTTTAGAGCTATAAATAAAATACCGACAATTTTGAGGGGAAAAAACAAGATTTTTGGCTTTTTGCTATTAAACATCTCCAGTAAAAAAAATCAAATTTCTTTATAAATTGAGGCCAAATGTATTCTGCTACATCTTTTCCCAGAAAAAAAAAAATCCCAATATGTGTAAATTAACGGCAGCGATCAGCAACTTAAAGAGGAAGCGCGGAGGGCATTCTGACACTGGGGGAGCTGACTTTCACTGACATTCCCAGTGACACTAATACAGTGATCAGTGCTAATAAAAAGAACTGACATTGTATTAATGACACTGGGCAGGAAGGGGTTACCAGCACACAGTTAACCCTTTTACCGCCTCAGATGTGAGTTTTAAATACTGTGCTCTGTGTGTGTTTTATAGTGTCAGCACACTGCTTTGTATTGCTCTGCTATACAGAGCAATACAAAACAGCGTGCTGGAGCGGACAGGGGAGAGATCTGTATTGTTTACATACAGACCTCACCCCCGTCAGTGATACGCGGCGATCACCAGGTGCCAGCAGGGAATCACTGCCTGGGACCCAGTGATCGACAGCTGAAGCCGCCAATGGTGGTGTGGGAAGGGCGCGCGTGCACCCCCTACCCAAAATTGCGAAATCACGTATATATACACGTGATTTTGCGCAGCCCTGCAGCAGCATTTCTGCTATAGGGCAGTGGGCAAGTGGTTAAAGGTCTCAACATAGCTGCCTAAAGCTTGCTGAAAGTGTAAAAAATGCATTGAAAAATTACTGCTGTACACACTTGTCTTAAACACACTGAAACCCATAAGTACTAGGTCTCAAAGACATAAATAACAGTGCAGTGAAGATGTCTACAACCAATGCTTCATTTTGTTTTTGTTTTTCAATCTGAAGCACTGGCTTTAGAATATCACCCATTCACTATTATAGGTAGCAAAACCTGTATCTGCTTCATATTCAGACTGCAAACAGATAAAGAATACTAACTAAAACAAAAGTTTTTTGGTGAAATATCTTGAACAGTATGATCAAGATGATTTGCTGTTCAAACCTAGAAAAAAAAAAAACAAAAAGTTCAAACCGCTTAAATTAGAGCAAACAACCTGCAGAAATCAGGGATAAATATGGCCATACAAAACAAAAACTGACTTCCTAAACAATATGGGAATGCTAGAGTATAAATTAATTCTAAAAAGAGCATAACTAACAGCAAAAGTAAAACATTCCAGAAAAATCAGAAAGAAATTCAGATGGCTAGGCTGAACATTTATCTGATTTTCAAAGTCTTTCCATCTAAAAACTATGCAATATTAATTGAATAAAAACCATAGTGGAAAACATGGATTTTTGCTTTCAGAGGGAAGAATTATTAGAGGGGTTATTACTGGGCCACCTTCTTCTGATTTTATTTCCTTCGGTCCTTGATGAGTGTCCATCATTCTAATATCACAGCACCATAATATCTGAATAGGTCTGCACTGTCTACAATGAGACTACAGTTGAAATCAGACATCGCACCACTGGGAGACTGAGGAGGTTGCAGGGTGGCAGAATCACCTTTTGATGTAAGAAGTCTCAATTTTAAAGTCCATGTAAAGTTAAAGTCAACGCTTTTTAAACTTTCAAATTGGTTTTAAATTTGCTCCCTTCAAGACCACCTAATAAAAATGTGCAATCAAGGCTCCCTGTAGGATTTCCATTTCAGACTACATAAATACATTGTGGCAGAAATTTTGGCAGAAGAAAATGTCCAAAAATTTGAAATGGATTGCAAAAATGTCAATGGCCTTGCTTTTAAACTGCACACAGATTATACCACTTTAAATTAAATTATTTCTAATAGACGTAGTTCAATACCTTCATTCTGTAATTGGATATCGTGCAAAGGACAGCAGCAATTTTAAGCATATTATAATAATAAAAAAAAAAAAAAAGAAATTTCAGAATTCTTCACTGAATGCTTCGGTATGGAATCCAAAAGAGGATGTTATTAACACATTTAAATTATACTCTGGCTTCAAGACAAAAACAAGTATGTAGGAGTGCATTTCCTAAATATAGATGAGATCTGTCCCCCTTCATTGAGTTCTGCAGTACTGCCCTGCCAGCAGGAATAACTTGCTGCTGTAGTAAGCCAACCTGAGGTGTAGTTCAAGTGAATAAATAGTAGTCAAACTTTGTTGATGTCAAACTTTGTTGATGTCATCCAGTGGCAGCGGATCCAACACATAGATTATACTTGTATCTTCAGTCTTTCATTGATTACAAAGTAATTTACATAATACAAGAAGATGCCAGCTCCCGTACTTAGAAAAAAAAAACGAAAAACAAAAATCCCAATGATTACATATCGCATTTAGTGCAGGGGTACTCAGAAATGTTGCACAGAAAGCTTCCCTAAACGTCTTCAGTGCAGAAAGGGTTAATCCACATCATCTGATTATCACTGTAAACTGAAGAGAAAGAAAAGATCCCTGTCTTCCCCTAATATCTACATTTTATGCTCAACCCATAAAAAGGTCAAAAAGAAAACCGGTTGAGCTATGCGTATTTGGTTGCAGTAGCATTGTCCATTCAAACAATGTTATTTTAGGCACAGTTAGGAGGAGGGATTGAAGGTGCAGCTGGCACTAAACGTTGAGCATGTCCTCGTCACTGTCATCATGAAATGAAGCTACATTCAGCTTGTCCTCTTTATTCTGCTGGACCGATCTCGACTTTCTAGTCTTTTCTTGGCCTCCATTAAAAAACTCCTATCAAGTTCTCGTCACTGCCAGAAGGATATGTGTTTAATGACTGTTTTTCACTCCTATTCTGGTTTCTTGCAGACTTTATTCTGACTTCTGGTACAGTTAGGACCTCATCTTCACTGTCAAGGTCATCCACATCCAATGAAGTAAACGCTCCGGCCTTCACACTTCTGACATGGCCGTTCTCATGGTGTGGTTTTGCATGGCCTCCAGACACTTCTTCCATAAGCCACTCAGTCTCATTGTCCATTTCTTCTTCTGTATTGATCTGAATGATGTAAAAAAAAAAAAAAAAACACACACACATCTGTTATATTGATTACAGAACAAAAAAAATGATAGTGAACATTCCAAATTATGATGGTTTATTCCATCATGCATTTCTGTTTTGGTCAGCTGAACTACTGTCTTGATTGTTGAAGAATATCCAAAGCCATATTTTAGTTTCGGACAGAATAGGAAATCTTAAGCAACCTTGTTAATTTTTTTTTTGCCGTCTGGCTCTGCTGGTAAGATTCAGAACGGGTTCATATTGATGCGATGCAGAAAATGCTGTGAATCCTGTGCATTACACACACCGCACTGCAATCGCATGGCGTTCATGCGATCTTGTGCGGGTGTCAATGTTAAAATTACTGACACTTCAAAACAGATCACAAAACGCAGTGGGATTGCCAGAAATTGCATTGCATGGGTAAGAACACCCATGCGAAGAGATTGAGGTGTGGGTGAAAAAAAAAAAAAAAAAAAAAAAGTGCAGATGTAGTTTGGGCCAAACAAAATGTATGGCTCAAAATCGCACAGCACAGACATCGCATGTAGTTTTCACAGAAATGCGGTGTGGGACGCCGCATATAAATTTGCACAGAAATCACACAATTACATGTGATGTCTGTGTAGTGCGATTTGAGCCATACATTTTGAATGGTTCATATTGCATCGCATCTGCACCAAAAAGGTGCAGGACCCTTTTTTTTTTTTTACCCACACCTGAATCGCATAGCATGGGTGTTCTCCCATTTGTGTGAACTCGATCTCACTCTCGTTTGGACTTTCTGTTGTACTGGGACTTAAAGTCCCAGTGACAAAGTTTACCAGGTCAAACTTTGGAGTTGTCACTGGAACAGGAAAAAGTGTGAAAGTCTTCAAATATGAACATTTGCATGGTGGCAATTGTCTAAGAGGAGACTATCCCTCACTTTGGAGAGGTTTCCTCTTGCTTCCCTGTTGTGTCATGGGACAGAAGTAAAGGGAAAATGGGACACTAGATGGGGGGGAAAAAAACAAAAAAAAAAAAAACACGACAGGAGTTTTAACCCTTCGTTGCTCTAAAAAAACAACAAAAACGAAAAAACTTTTGGCTTTGACGTTTCTGCACTCAAACCTCATGCTTAAAGAACACTGACTGTATGCCAAGACCATGATTTTTAGCAGACTGTAATAGGGGCATTCTTCTTATTAAATACAAATGTCACAGTCTACTTTTGTGAACATTACTTGTTTCACTATTCATTCACAATCATGTATGATTATCCTCTAATATACTACTGTATGAGTAATTATTGTACGGAAGATTTATTTTAGGGGAGGGTAAAAAAAATGATTTGGGTGTCAACTACTCTAGGTACAAGTTTTTTAAGCCTAGTACACATGGGCCAAATGTCGGGCGGCATCGGCTGGTTCAATAGAAACCGACCGTCATTCGGCCCGTGTGTAGGGCAGCTGGTTCAGCTAGCTTCTGTCGAAGGGGCATGACCGAAAAATGTCTGCCGAACAGTTGCCGATCGGTGCTCTCATCCCCCTGTTGTCAGAACACAATAGTACAGCAAAGGAGATCGCTGTACTAACATCGGATAGTTAATACAGTGGCTCCTCCTGCGCGATCAGGTTTTATTTCGTTCAGCACGCTGGGTTGAACGAAACAAAAAAAAAAAAACCTAGACGTGTGTACAACTTATTGATCATGCTAATGCTCTGTGAGCTGTAGATATAATCATTTTTAGGGAGTTCTCCAAGACCTAACAATTTTTTTTAGGGGTCCTTGTAGAGTAAGCAACTTAACGTAGCAATAAACAGACAAATGTGTGCAAAGTTTATATTTGCCAATGTGAATTTAGCAAAATTACAATCTGCTTGAAGACGCATCCCAGCGTACACACTACATCCCTTCGTAAAAAAAAAAAAAATGTTGTGATTGTCGAATGGCCAGTCCATGCTTGACCAAGAAACACTATCTAGAGCTTAACATTTATTGCTACACAGTTAGAAACACCTAGACTACATTTAGAATTCCTACACAAATCCTAACTCTAGTCAAAAGCCAGACTTTATGATCGAGAAAGTAACTTTCATTAACTAAAAAACAATTGTTTTTGTACAAAAGTTAATTCAAGCAATTGACATTGAAGGTTAGTGTACCTAAAATTAAAGGGATCCCTGCAAAGAAGCTAGACCAGTATTTCTCAACCTTTTTGACTGCGACGAACCTTTTGCAAAAAAATTTGAGACCTCGGGGAACCCCCGAAAAACATTTTCAGATATACAGCTCACGGAACAATTAATCTGATCAGCAAGCTATAGATGAAACACATGGCTGGATAAGGAGGTGGTATTCAGTATATGGCAGTGCTGAATGCAGAGAGGGAAAGCTTGTGGCTGGATGAGACTAAATGGAGCAGGAGGTGAGATCATAATAGCTTTAAGTACAATACATTTATGTCATAACAAAAAGCTAGTATCATTTCACATCCTGCTACATTCAGGGTGATCCAACTATGTGCTCCAGCTCTCTGCAGTCTGCATCACTCCTGCACCTCCTGCCTCGTTTCTGCCCCTCCTCCAGCACTCTCACTTCCCATACAGCCACATTGCACTGGTGGCTCTTTGCTTCCTCCTCCCTGCACTCAAACAATACCGCGGCTGAAAGAGGTAAGAGGATCTCGCCTCCTGATCCAGCCATGTGCTCCAGCCGCTAGCGGCTCTCTGCCCTCCTTCCGCCCACCACCCCTCGCAGTATGTGTGTCTGTAGATGTGGGATCCCACCTCCCAAAGCAAGCCACATGCTCCCACTCTGTAATTAGCACTGTCAAAGAAAGCCGCCACCTCCTTCTTCAGCTCCAGCAATCTGCACTACTTCTGGCCCCGCCCTCTGACTTTATAGGGGCCCGAACTATAGAGAAGGCATCGGGTATCAATGCGCACTGACACTTCTGACTGTCAAAGTGCACTGCAAACAACACTGGAACCATTAGGCAGTATACAAATCACCATAATGTTGTTTCACGGCAGAACCCCTGGGCTCTTCTCGCGGAACCATAGGGTTCCACAGAACCCCGGTTGAGAAAAACTGAGCTAGATACTCATTTATCCTGCTGTCTGTACTGCCGATTGCTGCAACAGAAAGGAGGAGTCACCCGATAAGAATCTTTAGAAACCAACACTCCTGGCAGTGTCCGATGCCTGATTCATGCTTTCAATGGTTCCATCTGCTAGCCTCTACATCATAACTGTGTCCCTTGGTGACTTAAGGGTGAAAAGGAGGAACCACAGATAACAGGGGGAACAGAAAATAGCTACCCCCAAAAGTTTCTGTTTCTGAAGTCTTCAAGTGGCGATTTCTCTTTATTTCAGTGGTATTTAGCGGTGTGGGAAACAGGAAAGGTATTTAACTTCTTTACAGATAGCCCTTTATTTTAGGTATTAGTTTTAGCAAAAGGTCACTTTAATATTACTTAAAATGCTTTTGAGATGCTGAATTTTCAGCACACAAAAAATTCAGAACCTAGAGCAACCAGCATTTAAGTTTCAGAATCAGGCAATATGGTTCAATACTGTCTTACTAAATATATCTGAATGTTTGAAGGTCCAAGCTTACCTTTGTGTATTTGTAAGACACATTGGAACTCCTCCTACAGCAGTTGGTTTTAGTTTGTACATCATCGTTTCCCTAAAAGTAAACCCAAAAAAATTAAAATGTATAATAATTTTCTAGATACGCTAACTTACTACCACTTACACTTGAAACAGTTGTGAGGTAGTTACTATATTAAAGTGGTAGCAAGTATAACTAACTTGCTAGGGGGTTAACAGAAGCAGCATGCTAGTGTGAAGGATTCGGCCTGCTTGCCTACCCCTCTCTGCCCCTTCTGCCATTCACAGAACTCGTAGTATAATTATCCCACAATGCAACATGTTATTTGAATGGAAGAAGAGAGAATGAATGACAGGTTCTCCCCAACCCTCCTGCATTGTGAGATAATAATAGCATAAGTTCTGTGAATGGTGGAGGGACCAATCATCCATTCAAAAAAAAAAAAAAAAAAAAAAAAAAACACCATCCAGGAGAGTAAATAACCCTTAACTTTGGAAAAATAAAAAAAAATGCCCCCTCCAAGTGGCAACTGTCTCAGCGGCCTGCATCTTAAAGGTTGACACACCCATCAAAAAGAAACATTGTGAGTAATACATTTTGTTGGACATCTGTTATTAAGATTTGATCTGTTAACAAGTATTCCACATACTCTTGTGTTAAAGGCTATAATCTTTAGAATATGTTACACCTATATTTAGAGTATAACAACACATTCCAGCATTCCCCTCACCTGAGCCCCCTATTTACCTTGCTAAGACCCCTTCCCTCCAGCAATACAAGGTCTACACCCTACCTTTTCCTCATGTTGCTTCCATTTTTGCCCAGTTTCCAGGTGGTTCATGTTCAGACATAACTCTCACATGAACAAGTAATTGACTATGTCCTGGCACCTTACAGAACCGGCTACCAGTGAAAAATGACTAAAAAAAAAAAAAAAAAAAAAAACTGCTAGAAGGCAGGAGAAGATATTTCGGTCTTGAACAAGGAGCTCTGCGCATGCTCCAAAACACGTCACCATCAACATCACTTCCAGTTGTGGCCTCCTGAACAGTGTGCACTTCGGCGTGCGTTCCAGCAATCCCGGAGCTTGCGGTGGCCATCTTGGGACATCCTATCCTCAGCACCCCCGCAGCTGTTGGCCGGCACAGTGGGTTCTCGTGCGGTGGACTGAGCCTCCGCATCCTGACGAATTTACTGAGCCTGTTTGTAAGTGTTTCTAACTGTCATCATTAAAAGTTCTTCTGGAAATGCTGCACTTAGAAACGCCTTCCTGCTTTATCCTCTAGAAGATATTCCATAGCAGAAGAGAGACACACACACACAGTCTCTTCTACCATAAATATCTACTTGCAATCAAATTTAAAAATTTCACCTATAATTCTGCTTTAAGAGGTCTCATACACATGAAAAAAATTCAACAATGATGCCTATAAGAACCTCACAAGGAAGGTAAATAAAAAATAAAACCAGGCAAAACGTAGAGTATTACGTATAAATAGATTATTTAAAGGACACTATGGGGCTTATTTACTAAAGCTGGTTCACTCCGAATCTGGTGCAGCAGTGTATGGGAGCCAATCAGCTTCTAACCTCATCTTGTTCAATTAAGCTTTAGCAATAAAACCTGGAAGCTAATTGGTTTCTATACAAAAGTGCACAAGATTCTGAGTGAACCAGCTTTCGTAAATAAACCCCAGTTTCCTTTCACAAATGAAAAAATTAGAATACAACTGTTCCTCAAGTACCTCACCTTCTCTCCTTCTTGTACAACAGCAACACCACCAGACAGATGACAAGGATCACTAAAAGAATACTAAGAATAGCTCCCACAGCTTGGCTTCTACCGGACAGGCCCTGGTATTGATTCTGATCTCCGTCATCCGTAGTACTTGCAGAATTCTCTGGCCTGCCATAAAAATGCAGCAACAGTAAGAAAAGCTAAACCCAAAATACAGAATTATCTGCTATGTTTTGCTAAGAGTTAAGAATTACACAAGATTACAAAAAAACAAACTATTATTTAAGGAAATGAAATACAAAAACAGGAAGGAAACACTCCCCTAGCCCTCTTCTTTTTGCCTAATTAAGCAGATTTTGCAGAAGTCTTTGTGTAGATCAAGGCATTTGCATCAGTGAAATATCATGTATGTGTAAACGCACTGCAAGTGCAGTTGGTAAAGCTAAAAACACAAATTAATGCAGCTCTGCTAAAGCAGTACTCCAGCCAAAAACAACAAGATAAAATGAATTAAAAGGTAAAATAAAACCTGTTGCTCCTTCTCACTCCAGCCCCTACTGTACAAGAGGCTGAAGGCGGATACCAGGTCAAATTCAAGTATCTACAGTATAGGCATAAGAAAATACATGTAATGCTGTATTAATGATTATAGAACTGCAATAATTAGTGCCTTTTATACAGTTGTGCTCAAAAGTTTGCATACCCTGGCAGAAATTGTGAAATTTCTGCATTGAGATTGAAAATATGACTGATCATGCCAAAAAATGCTCTTTTATTGAAGGATGATGATCATATGAAACCATTTATTATCAAAGAGTTGTTTGGGTGATTTCTGTTATGATTTAAAAAGGAACCAAATGGCCCAGATCAAATGTTTACATACCCTGGAATGTTTGGCCTTGCTACAAAAACACAGAGGTGACACACATGGGTTAAAATGCCAATTAGAGGTTAATGCCCCGTCATCTGTGGCTTTTTAAATTGCAGTTAGTGTCAGTGTATAGTCAGTTTGTTAGCTCTTACGTGAAAGCACTGACTAGGCTAGATACTGAGCCATGGGGATCAGAAAAGTACTGTCAAAATCCTGCATAACAAGGTAATGGAACTTTATAAAGATGGAAAAGGACATAAAAAGATGTCCAAAGCCTTGAATATGCCAATCAGTACTGTTAAATCACCTATTAAGAAGTGGACAGTTCAGGGATCTCTTGATACCAAGCTAAGGTCAGGTAGACCAAGAAAGATTGCAGCCACAACTGCCAGAAGAATTGAAGGAGCACAATATGATGGCACTTTAACAAAAATGAGCTGCATGGCTGAGGTGTCAGAAAGAAGTGTTTACTGCAAAAAAAGGCCTGGTTAGGCATGTCAAGGTGTTGTCAGGCATATTGTAAGTGGGCTTTTTTGTGGCATTGGTGCAGTAAAAGCTTCTTTCTGGCACCTCAACCAAACAGCTAATTTTTGTTCAAGTATCACCGTATTGTACTCCTTAAAAACAACCACACCATCTTTTTCCAGAGCAGCCTGTATTTCTTTTGAGGTTGCCTGTGGGTTTTTCTTTGAATCACAGACAATTCTTCTAGAGCCTGGTTGGAGCTCTTTTCTTTTAAAGCACAGAAATTGCTGATGCGTTGAAAATATAGGCACATTTCCAAGAAGCCAGGAGGTCTATATGGTGGCTGGAGATGATGACCTTTGGTGGATTGCATTTGGGACTATTCGACTCAAATGTAAACATTTAGAGCTTGATCTAGATGAACCGAGAGGGCTTGATAAAAGATCTATTAGGCTGTGCAAACATACATGAAGGTTGTAAGCAACAAAACAAAGAGGGAGCATAAAGCTTGCAGCTCTGGGACATGACCAGAATGTAAGGTGTTCCAGCATAGGTCAAAGGTTAACAAATAACCCCCTACTCTGGAAAGTGGAGGCACAACTTCATGTGGAGGAAAGATTGCCTAAGGAATTGGCAGACTTGGAATGTCAAACTTTGTGTGTTGACTGGAAGCCAAGCTTTGGGGGTGCCTCTCCCTTAAAGATAAGGGAGTGGAGAAACAAAAGGACTGTTTCTGGACAGTCAAAGGGGGAAATGACTTGGCGGTCTGCTTTGACTTGTTCCGCTGGGAAGACGCGTGTTCTTGCCACCAGTCACATCCTTGATAACATTATCAAGAGCAGGTCCAAACATATGCATATGCAACAATATGAGGTACATGCAAAGATGAGAAGGGGGAGGCTTATACCTTTATCAAAAGCAGGTTCAAAGAGATGTCCCTCAAAGGCTATATGGATCAAACAGTTCTATCACAAAGGTCCCTCAGTCCAGCATTTTAGCCAAAGTGCCCTACAGTGCTGTTAACAAGTATTTGCCCCTTTCTGGTTTTATTTAATTTTTTGCCTACTTGTCACATTTAAATGATTCACAGCAAACAAATGTAATATTACACTTCGATAATCCAAGTAAATACAAAATGCAGTTTTTAAATGATGATTTCATTTATTAAGGGAAAAAAGCTGCCCAGACCTGCCTGGCCCTATGTGAAAAAGTAACTGTGATGAAACCATGAATTCTGCACTCTACCAGAAAATCCTGAAGCAGAATGTCCGGCCTTCAGTTCATGACATGAAGCACTTTGGTTATGCATTAGGACAATGAAACACACAAGCAAGTCCACTTCTGAATGGCTCAAAAAAACAAAAAAAAAACAAAACAAAAATTAAGGTTTTGGAGTAGCCTAGTCAAAGTTCGGACCTAAATCTGATTGAGATGTTGTGGCATGACTTTAAAACAGGCTGTTCATGCTTGAAACCACCCCCCTACCTCAATGTGACGGAATTAAAACAATTCTGCAAAGAAGAGGGGGCCAAAATTCCTCCACAGTGTTGTGAAAGACTCGCTGCCAGTTATCACAAAAGCTTGATTGCAGTTGTTGCCACCAAGGGTGGCACAAGCAGTTATTAGTTTTAGGGGGCAATTACTTTTTCACATAGAGCCAGGCAGGTTTAGACAGCTTTTTTCCCCATTAATAAATTAAATCCTCATTTAAAAACTGCATTTTGTATTTACTCGAGTTATCTTTGTGTAATATTTATCACTTGCCTATGGGCATTTTTACCCCCTTCCTGTCCAGGCCAACTTCCAGCATTCAGTGCTGTCCCAATTTGAATGACAATTGCGTGGTCATGCAACACTGCATCCATATGAAATTCTTCTTTTTTTCACAGAAATAGAGCTTTCTTTTGGTGTTATTTAATCATAACTGGGTGTTTTATTTTTTGCTAAACAAAAAAAATTTTGAAAAAACAAAAAACCCAAACTGTTCTTTTTCCTAGTTTCTATTATACAATTTTGCAAACATGTAATTTTACTCCTTCACTGATTTGCGTTGATGAGGCTACTCTGATGGGTACTGATAGGCTGCACTGTGTACAAGTGTTTGTATATCGTGATCAGCTGTGATTGGACACAACTGATCACACGGTAAAAAGACACATCGATAATAGAGAGCGCTGTGTGCCCAATGGGGGCAGTTCTGGGAGGATGTTATATGACACCCTGCCAGAACTGGATGACGATGCTATAGCCGTCATTCAGCTATAGTGCAGTCAACAAGTGGTTAAAATTTGTTTGATGTCCTGAATCATTTATGCTCAACAAATATGAAAACAAATTTAAAAAATTAAAAAAAAAATCAGGAAGGGGGCAAATATTTTTTCACAGCACTGTATGCATATGCACAAACATGGATGTACATGCAAGAGATGACAATGGCAGCTTCAAGAAAACCAGCAAAGTCAAAATTTAATGCTATAGCCATCTGCTCCATGTGTTTAAAATAAGTTTAAACCACTGCTTTGGTCAATCCCTTTTTTTTTTAAGGACTTTAGACCAGCCAGACAGTAAAACCACAGCAAGGATTATGTGTAAGCAGTGAGAATAGAGCTCAGGAAAGGACTTCCAAGCTCTTAAAACAGGTGCATTTAGAATCAGGAAATAGTAAGTTCCTTGTTAAGACTAGAAAGTGCCAGATCCAGAAGGGTATTGGACCGCTTCTTAACCATAAAATGCTAACAAGTGTTGAGAGAAAAGAAGCTTCTTCAAATCTCCATATTGTAGAAGCAATAGGCTGATCGTCTAGTTTTTAGAGTGGTGTACACTGCATCAATAAGCATCAAAACAGTCGTCTTTAACTTTGTACTCTTAATAGAAGACTGACTCCTCAGGGGTAAGCTAATCAGTCAAGGACTCAGGCAGACTCTCTGCAGGTACAGAAGCTGCCAGAGATTACACAAAACAGGGCTTGTGACATTTGCCACTCAAGTCAGCAAATAACTGGGTAATTTGGGTCAAAGTCTTGTATGATCATGGTAAGGACCTCAACTGAAAAAAAAAACAGTGAACTCAAGGGGACTCTGAGGAGGGGAGAGACTAACATCTGGAGGATAGCATGTTTCCAAGATGTAGATGTTGGCACAATCAGTAGGCGCTCTGCAAGCAGCCCTGAAGCACTTAGTAGAAAGTAAGGTAGGGGCACCTGATTGAGAGGAACTGTTGTACACCCCTGTTAAAATGTTAGGTTTCTGTGATATAAAAAAAAACTGAGACAAAGATAAATCATTTCAGAACTTTTTCCACTTTTTAAATTAACCTATAAACTGTACAACTCAGTTGAACAACAAACTGAAATCTTTCAGGTGGAGAGAAGTAAAAATAAAATTAAAATAATATGGTTGCATAAGTGTGCACATCCTTAAACTAATAGTTTGTTGAAACACCTTTTGATTTTATTCCAGCAGTCCTTTTGGGTATGAGTCTATCAGCATGATACATCTTGACTTGGCACTATTTGCCAGCTCTTCCTTGCAAAAACACTCCAAATCTGTCAGATTGCCAGGGCATCTCCTGTGCACAGCCCTCTTCAAATCACCCCACAGATGGTCCTCAATAAAATAAGGAATTTTAATTTCAGGTTTTAAGTATGTCAAATTAATGCTTTTCTGATCCAGCTACTTAAGATATACTACAACCAAACCAAAACGTTTAATGGTACCCAACCTTTTGAAATTGAAAACCTGAAAAATTCAGTTTTTTTTGTACACGTGTCTTTCCACAACAGAACAAATAATAAACTATTCAATTTGGAAGCATTCTCCGTGTCAACATATATGATAAGTAAAACTTGAGCTTACACCAGTGGACAGATGGCAGTTGTATACCAGGAGAACAAATACTGACAATCTGCTGTTTCGTGCAGGAATTCAGGTCTCCCTTCCCCCTCAGTTTGGCTACAGTAGAAGAATATAGTGGATGTGGCATTTTTTTGGGGATCTTTACCACATTTTGAGTTGGAAGAAAAAACAGCTTCTAAACTATCATCTGTGGAAAAACAAGAAAATGCAATTAATGGCACTGATCAGAATCTACAAAAAAAAATAATAATAATAATAAATATACACACACACACACACACACACACACACACATACATACATACACATACATACACACACACACACACATATACACACACACACACAATACATATATTACATATAAACATTAGTTTACACATTTGTATGTACTAAATAAGGTTTTATATCCTTTAAAAAAAAAAACTGAGTTCTGAAGATGCCACTTTCTCTAGCAAATCTTTGTGGGACCAAATATGGGAGCTACAACTACCTTTTTTTTATATTGTAGAGAATCTGCACTTAGGAAATCTTATCTTTCAAATGGTAAGAATCAAGTGAAACAGTGCTCAGGTATAATTTTAAAGCAATATTTCTGTAAAACTGCACCTGAGCACTGACACTTTTGCACATAAATTAAACACCACGTTACCCTACTGAATAAGCTATAAACATACAAGCAGTGAAACATGTTGGATGTTCATTTTTTTCTGAGGTTTTAGCCCACAGAAAAACAAAAAGGAATATATAAGAGGGAAGTAGAACGTAAAAATAAGACAGAGAAAAAGGATGAGAGTGTAAACTATTAGTAAAATTAGTGAATTGCTTAAAAAGATGAGAAATAAGGAGAAAATAAAGACAAAAAGGGATAAGGTTTGAAAAACAGATACAGAAATATCAGGTATTTTTAGGAAATTCACTTAGAGAAGAAGAATACTGAGATTTTTTTTGTGTCTTCTAAATTGGTAATAAAGGTACAAAGTAAATACACGACTGCCACAGAATTTTTATGTAAAGATTTAATTGAGACCTTTAATAAAAGAGAATTATGGGCTTTGCAAATTAAAAAAAAAAAAATTATACTCACCGAGGTGGATAATCGATTCGATGCTACATCTGATCCCTGCTAGCTCTGCAGGGAGAACTGAGCGATCAAACACCGCTGATATGAGCAAGGAGCCGGTGAATGACAGTCTCCGGCTCTCCGCTCTGCTCCTCCAGCGCTGGGCTGTGGAGGGGGCAGGAGCAAGCCGGCTCAGGGTCTCGGAAGCTTGCCGAGAGGCTGAGCCAGGTGCTGGTGCAGGATTCTGGGTGGATCTTGACCATATGGTCAGGATCTTTTCAGAGCCTGGACCAGCTCTGTGTCGTCAGCAGACAGAGGGCTTAGCCAGCTGATGGCTGAAAATGGGTCACAGGCATGCAGAACTAACTGCACTCCTGTGATCCATAGGAGAAGTACAGCTTTGGCTAACTCTGGTGGGGTTAGGCATGCAGATATACACTCACAGCCACTTTATTAGGTATACCTGTGCAATTGCTTGGTAACACAAATTGTTAATCAGCCAATCACATGGCAGCAACTCAATGCATTTAGGCATCTAGACGTGGTGAAGATGACTTGCTGAAATTCACCCTGAGCATTAGAATGGGGAAGAAAGTGGCATGGTTGCTGGTGCCAGACAGGCTGGTCTGAGTATTTTAAAAACTGATGACCTACTGGGATTTTCACTCACAACCATCTCAAGGGTTTACAGAGAATGGTCCAAAAAAGAGAAAATATTCAGTGAGTGGCAGCTGTGTGGACGAAAATGCCATGTTGATGTCAGAGGCCAGCGAAGAATGGGCAGACTGCTTTGAGACGACTGAAAAGCAAAAGTAACTCAAATAAGCACTCGTTACAACCAAGGTATGCAGAATACCTTCTCTGAATGCACAGCATGTCGAACCCTGAAGAAAATGGGCTACAGCAGCAAAAGAATATACCGTATAGTGAAATGTGGTGCATCGCAAACAAACTGAGAAACTGCTACTGAATTGTGACCATAGACACAGTGCTACATAGAAAACAACAAAAGTATAATAATTCTCCCAATACAGTATCTTGTGAAGTACATATAGACGTAACAGGAATCTAAACAGCCTAACAGATAAGGAGCAGCAGCAACTTCACATGTACTTTGTTACATATAATTTATGTAATTTTGAGTCAACTGTAGCAGCGCACAAGAAGACCATACCGGGTGCCACTCCTGTCAGCTAAGAACAGAAACCGGAGGCTCCAATTCGCACAGGCTCACCAAAATTGGACAATAGAAGATTGGAGAAATGTTGCCTGATCTGATGAGTCTCGATTTCAGCTGCGACAGTGAGAATTTGGCATAAACATCATGAAATCATGGATACATCCTGTTTTGTATCAACGGTTCATGGATGTGAAACCGACAAATCTGCAGCAACTGCATGATGCTATCATGTCAAAATGGACCAAAATCGCTGAGGAAGGTTTCCAACACCTTGCTGAATCTACGCAACGAAGAATTAAGGCAGTTCTAAAGGCAAAATGGGGTCAAAGCCAGTACTAGCAAGGAGTATCTAATAAAGTGGCCGGTGAGTGTATGTATCTCACATCAATTATGTAACAAATTAAATAATTAAAATCCAGATTACAGTATGAAAAGAAGTTAAAAAGTAAAAACTCCTCAGTTAATTTTAAACTCCTGTGAGGCGAGAAAAATAAGAGTTTGGACTTAGTATGAAATCCTTTTCTTGGAGTTCATTAAAAGGGCACAGTGTCAGAAGGCATGACTGATTGAAAACACGAGTGCTCTCAAGTCCAAAATGGACTTTAGGAACAGTGAACAGGTTTAGGTAGAAACCCTAAAATCTCTTTTTTTGGAATGGGAACAATTACTGCTTGGGAGGAGTTGTGCCAGGGCATCCTGGAGGTCTGGTAATTGTTGAAGGGACATTGATAGATGAGACTGCATATACAAGGGTGGAGGTAGAGTTTGAAATTCTAGCTTGCAGCCCCTGGACGCCACACACTCTCACAGATGCAATCGATTTGCACGTTGGAAGGCCAAGGTGGTTGCAAAGGCTAACAGGCATCCCTCCAACTTTAGGAAGTGGGGGCACCCTCTCATTGTGAGGAGGTGTTGCTTGCAGGTTTGGGTATCCAAGATTTGCAAGGGAACAGAGTCCCAGACTTACATTTGGTCTTAGAGGTCTAGGAGAAAGAAAAAGAAATCAATCAAGTTCCAGGAAAAGTAGGCTTTTCAGGCTGAACCTTCTCTTTCTTTTGCTGGGGTAAAATGATACCCTCTTCCAGTGATATCTTTGATACTATTTCCAGGAAGCACTAAAGAGGTGTTCTCCATCAAACTGCTTAGGCAGCAAGCATTTATATGCACTGCTGTTCAGCAGACCAATACTAAAGCTAGAGTATTCTGTATATGTAGACAGAGGAGACCCATTCTGTATAATAAACATACCATATCCAGAAGCCCATAAACACAGTAATGCAGGACAACAGGCACGAGCTCTATCATTTTCAAAAAGGAAGGATCAGTTAGACCTATATTACGAGTTCTTGACATATCGTTGGTCCGGCCCACTTCCGAAACTCTGTGCCTGGCGCAAAGCCCACTCCCGAACTCCGCGCCCGGCATGATGCCCACTCCCAGACCTTGTGCTTGAAGCAAAGAGCACTCCCAAACCCCACGCTTGCTGCAAACTGCACTCCTGAACCATGCACTTTGTACGTAGCGCACTCCAAAACCATGCACTTTGTACGTAGCGCACTCCAAAACCATGCACTTTGTACGTAGCGCACTCCAAAACCATGCACTTTGTACGTAGCGCACTCCAAAACCATGCACTTTGTACGTAGCGCACTCCAAAACCATGCACTTTGTACGTAGCGCACTCCAAAACCATGCACTTTGTACGTAGCGCACTCCAAAACCATGCACTTTGTACGTAGCGCACTCCAAAACCATGCACTTTGTACGTAGTACGCGCACTCCAAAACCATGCACTTTGTACGTAGAGCACTCCAAAACCATGCACTTTGTACGTAGAGCACTCCAAAACCATGCACTTTGCACGTAGCGCACTCCAAAACCATGCACTTTGCACGTAGCGCACTCCAAAACCATGCACTTTGCACGTAGCGCACTCCAAAACCATGCACTTTGCACGTAGCGCACTCCAAAACCATGCACTTTGCACGTAGCGCACTCCAAAACCATGCACTTTGTACGTAGCGCACTCCAAAACCATGCACTTTGTACGTAGCGCACTCCAAAACCATGCACTTTGTACGTAGCGCACTCCAAAACCATGCACTTTGTACGTAGCGCACTCCAAAACCATGCACTTTGTACGTAGCGCACTCCAAAACCATGCACTTTGTACGCAGCGCACTCCAAAACCATGCACTTTGCACGTAGCGCACTCCAAAACCATGCACTTTGCACGTAGCGCACTCCAAAACCATGCACTTTGCACGTAGCGCACTCCAAAACCATGCACTTTGTACGCAGCGCACTCCAAAACCATGCACTTTGCACGTAGCGCACTCCAAAACCATGCACTTTGCACGTAGCGCACTCCAAAACCATGCACTTTGTACGTAGCGCACTCCAAAACCATGCACTTTGTACGCAGCGCACTCCAAAACCATGCACTTTGTACGTAGCGCAGTCCAAAACCATGCAGTTTGTATGTATCTCATTCCTAAACCATGTACTTTGTATGTAGCGCATTCCTAAACTGTGAAGTTTGTATGTAGCACACTCCTACATCATGCACTTTGTATGTAGCGCACACACCTAAACCCTGCACTCTGTACGTAGTGCACTCCTGAACTCTGTAAATTGCACTTTTGTACGCTGCACAGAGCACACTCCTAAAGTCAAAGCCCTTTTACAACCCTCCCACTGTTAGTACAATTTGGCCAAACTGTACTAACTAACTGTACTAAGTCCCCACATATGTAAAAAAAAGCCTTTGTTTAGGACCTTAGTGCTAAGCAGAGCTAAACAAAATACATTAACATATGCACCAAGGCGATATATAACCAAGCCTGACTAAAATATAAATAAATAATATTAGCATTAGGTAGTGACAGCTAGAAATAAAAAAATGGCAAAACAAACTCTGTGGTTGGACAAAAATATGGAAACACTGCATAACTTGCAGGTGCGACATTGCGCAGGATTTTGACTCGGAATAAGAAAACTGCTGCAAAAGTGACTGCAGAGCTCAATCTCAGTCTTCCAAAGCCTGTGCCCACAAAAACTGCATAGAGAACTCCATAAGCAAAACATTCACAGGGTGAGCTGCAATTGTCAAACCATTCTTGACCAATGGTGCAACACACATAAATCGTGGACTATCGATTAATGGAAAACTGTAATATGGCCCAATGAATCAAGCTTCACATTGTTCCCAACCACTGGACATGTTTATGTTTATGTGTGGTGAACACTGTCCCTAGCTTACAATCAGGACTGTCTTAGGCCAATGGTAAAGCATGGTGGCAGCGCAATCATAGTTTGGGAACCAATATCTTGGTATTCTGCAGGTCCCATCATCACCTTGAAAAATAGAGTCATTGCCAGCGACTATGTACAAATTTTGGCCGACCATGTGCTTCCCATAGTGCAGACATTGTTTTCAGAGAACAGAATCCTTTACCAAGACAATAATGCTCTGACTTAAACAGCTGGTGTTGTCAAATTGTGGTATGACGAGCATGAAGACGAAGTCTCGCACCTTCCCTGGGCGCCACAGTCACAGGACCTCAATATCATAAAGCCACTATGGTAAATTTTGGAGAACTAGGTTTGGGCTGGTTTTTCATCTCCGGCATCTCTGCAAGAACTGGAACGATTTTTGCATGAAGAGTGGTATCAGATTCCATTAGCTACCACTTATATTTGTCAAATCACAGGAAAACTTGGTCCGTCTTGGATGCCAAAGACAGTCTTAACACCATATTAGCTAATGATTTTGTTTTTTTACCTGGTGTTTCCATAATTTTGGCCAACCCCTGTATATTGCTGTAATGTTCAGCAAAACTGAATACATTATAAAGCAACTTCTAACGTGAACATATTTTGCTGCCTTTAAAATGCATACTTTTTACATATCATATTTAGAGTAGCAGGATCAATAAGAAGCCACAACGTGTATTGTTTTTTTAAATTTAAGTCAAAGATAATAAAACTTACCATCAATATAATATTTGATTTGGTTGGGAGAACCGATTGGTCTTGTGAACTGCCCATTTGTCTTCACTTGGCATACGCTGGCTCCATTACATTTCTGATAGGCAGAGTTTTCTCTACCAGAAAGCTGAATTTCATACATATACTGATCTGTCACTCTTTGATCCCCACTGGCATTGTATGATCTGCAGGAAGTAAAAATGTCTGCGCTTAATAAAATGAATTATTAATTCCAAAGAAAAGATGTAGGGGGTTGGAAGCAATAATGTTACCAAATATAAATCCTACAAACTGCAATAAGGCAGAAATGTGAGAACCAGAGTCTCAGGGGTACATTCACTTAGACAATAGTCAGAAATTGTACTTATTTAGTAAAGCAGGCCAAGGATAAATGGCCATGGGTGAACTATAAAATGCAGTAAAGCATTACAAATTTTGTTGAATGACTGCTTTAGATTAGTGCACAAATACATTAAATAAAACTGAGCAGTGAATGTCACTAGATATTGAATCACTATTGCTCATCAGCAAAGCATACAGATGAAATTCAACAACCATGCAGACACTATGACAATGCTTTACCTGAAAGATTTACGGAGACCAAAAGTGACCAAATTGAATAAATATAAAATACAAGCTGAAAATGTATTTCAATGTTTGTTTGTGGACTTAACAGAGGTTTAAAAAAAAAAAAAAAAAAAAAAAGTAATAGAATATAAAAGTCTTACTTGATATAGATGCCTGACAAGTTAACACTTGCACCATTGTCCCCATATATTATTCCATGTGCCATCACAACCTCTTTTGGAATAACAGCACAAGCTGCTCTTGTCTCCCATGTAAATATGTACTGACAAGACTCGGAGTTGTATCTAAAAATCAATACAAAAATAACCACAATTTAATAAAATAATTTGTTAACGTGTTAATTTCAAAAGTAAATTTCAATTTACAATTTGAATCTTTAATTAAAATCATATCGTTTGGATCCTTGTGGTCTCGGTTTTGTTTGATTACCATTTCTGTTATTCTGTTTATTACGGGATCTGCGTATCCACGTTGTTCTATTTATGTGTAATCCTGCTGTTGCAGTAATGTCATTGTGGATTCTGTAAGTACTGTTCCATTTTCTCTATTATCTTGACAATAAAAGTTGTTTGGATTTAAAAAAAATAATATCTGGTGCTCATGCTATGAAGGTCCTTGTTTATGCACTTTTTATAGGGTAACAACGCTCTTTCCTGGTTTTCCAATTGTCTTTGTGCATTGCACCCTGTCGCACAGATTTTTGGTGGAGACTAAAAGTGACTTTTAAGCATACAGTACATATGCATGGTTTACTGTTGTCACCATCAAAATATCTTCCATAAGAAATGTCACGCAGCCATCATTGGACTGCATGCATGTGGACAGGAAGTGTTTTTTTTTTCTTTTTCCGGTGTAATGGGGGGGGGGGGGGGTCTGCATTTACCACATGCTCAGACTGTTTTACATAGTACAGAAATTAACTAAAATCACAAGAGTGTGATGTTTTTATCAATGTTTATTACAGTTATTGACATTTTACTACATGATACTGCTTATGTTATGGCTATATATGTGGGTGTAGAGTATACATAGAGGAGTATCTGAGTGCACTGTGTCATGACATCTGAAGGAGAAAGGGCATGCAACCTGTAGGATCAATATATAGAGCACTATTGCCTTTCCATAATTATCATAAGGAACTGTTGATGAGAGTGGCTTCAGGGGGTGAAGCAACTCACATTTTGTGATGGAGAGAAAGAAAGAGATGGAGAGAAAGAGAAAGAAAGAGAAAGAGAGAGAAAGAAAGAGAAAGAGAGAGAAAGAAAGAAAAGAGAGAGAGAAAGAAAGAGAAAGAGAGAGAAAGAAAGAGAAAGAGAGAAAGAAAGAGAAAGAGAGAGAAAGAGAGAGAAAGAAAGAGAAGAGAGAGAGAGAAAGAAAGAAAGAGAAAGAGAAGAGAAAGAAAGAGAAAGAGAGAGAAAGAGAAAGAGAAAGAGAGAGAAAGAAAGAGAAAGAGAGAGAAGGAAAGAGAGAGAGAAAGAAAGAGAAAGAGAGAGAAAGAAAGAGAAAGAGAGAAAGAAAGAGAAAGAGAGAGAGAAAGATGACATGGTAAAAGGCCAATCACAGCGGCCTTTTACCATGTGATCAGCTGTGTCCAATCACAGCTGATCACCATGAAAATACACTAGCCGGTTATTGCAGTACTTTGTGACAGCATGAGGAAAGTGCTGCCAATAACTGGCAACTGTCAAAGGAGACATCTGCATTGATAATTAGGGCACTGATTACACTGTTCAACAGGTAAAAAGTTTTGGGCATAAAATTAGCTAATCTTACATAATTTTGGGGTGCTGAAAACGAAAATGACCCTAAAAAATGTTGATTGGCTCTAGTTTCCATGATATATTCACCCATCTAATGACGTAAGCCATTCAAAATTATGATGCAACTTCAGCTGCATATTGCGCAATTGATACTGGTGACCAATAGAAAATTGCATGTATACTGAGATGATGCAATATTAGCCTTTAATTGCATCACTTCACTGCATAAAAGCTGCAGTATCTGTAGCTGATTGTAGTTCGACAGCGTCTTTACATTTCGTTTTATGCTTATATAGGCTACTCAGTAATGCCTCGAACTTGTGTGAATAAAGCAGATAATTTCTGCTATATCTGCGGTGAAATAACTTTTATCTCACAAAAAAGGAGGATAACAGGAATGATTAAGAAAGCCTACAACTTGTATTTTGGCTGCAAGATAGGAGACCAGGACAAGAGCTGGGCACCACATATATGCTGCAATTCTTGTGGGACGGCACTGGAGCAATGGTTGAATGGAAAAAAGGCATCTATGCCTTTCGCTGTGCCAATGATTTGGAGAGAGCCAACAGATCATGTTAGTAATTGTTACTTTTGTATGGTGCCTCCAATTGTAAAAGGGCTAAATAAGAAGAAAAAAGTTATCTGTGCACTATCCAAATATTCCATCGGCAATACGTTCAGTTCCTCATGGAGAGGGGCTACCAATTCCTAAAGCACCAGAATCCTTCGTGGTTGAGTCAAGTGAGGAAGAACCTGAAGCGTGTAGTCACGTGCAGTTGTAAGAGATAGCCCTTTCCTCGAATACAAGAGAAAAGCCAAGAGAAGCAAAACCGACACAAACTGAAGAGAAAACTAGTGAGAATCCTAAGTATTAAAATGATTCAACTTAGCTTATGGCTATAATTTTTCTTGGTAATCCTATGCAATATATTATGCCATTTAGGCTTTGTTATGTAGTCGATATCACTTGCTTTATATTTGTAGAAAGACATCTATCTATATAATTATTGTGCATTATGTAGTCATTATGCCTATAGTAGAAAACTTTCCGTTTACAGAAAAACTAGAGCCAATTGACAAATTTCATTGTTATATTTGAACTCAGAATGTGAAATTCATTAAGAAATGGATCCTTTTGTTTCCAAAACTGGCAAAAAATAAAAATTTGTTGAACAGTGTTATCAGTGCAGCCCCAAAAGTGCATATCAGTGCAGCCCATCAGTGACCAACAGTGCTGCCCATCAGTGACCAACAGTGCTGCCCATCAGTGACCAACAGTGCTGCCCATCAGTGACCAACAGTGCTGCCCATCAGTGACCAACAGTGCTGCCCATCAGTGCTGCCTATCTGTACCTGTTAGTGCCACCAGTCAGTGCCCTTCAGTGCTGCCTTTTAGTGCTCATCACTGCTGTCTATCAGTGCCGCATATCGGTGCAGCCTCATCAATGCAGCCTATCAGTGCTGCCCATCAGTGCAACCTCATTAACGCACATCAGTGAAAACGAAAGCTGAAAATTGGTCTGGGCAGGAAGGGGGTAAAAGTGTCCAGTAGGCAAGTGGTTAAAAAGGCACAGATGTGGGAAATTAACCTTTAATTGCCATTTTAACCTATGTGCGTCACCTTGTGTGTCTGTACCAAGGCCAAACACTCCAGGGTATGTAAACTTTTGATCATGGCCATTTGGGTGATTTTTCTTTTTATGATTTTAAAAGAAGCCAAACAGCTATGTGATAATAAATGGCTTCATATGATCTGATCACTACCCTTAAATAAATTGCTTCATATGATCACTACTCTTAAATACAAGACAGTTTTTTCCAATGACCAATTATATTTTCAATACAGTTTGCCAAAATTTCACGATTTCTGCCAGGGTATGCAAACCTTTGAGCACAACTGTAAACATATACATTCATACACACATTTTTGGTTTAAATGTACGTAGCAACTGAATCAGGGCATGTAATTATACAGCAAGTAGAGTTGATAGTCATTTTTTTCCCCCACTTACTGCTTCATCTTTGGTTTTCCAGTTACATTCGCACACGTTAGCTGTATCGTAGTAGAAAATTGTTTATCGTTTCCACAAGAATCTCCACCGGAATAAGTCACTAACACTATATCACCTAGAAAAGGCAGAGGTTACGTTTAAAGGGCTTGCCAAAGAACTCCTGTGTAATACAAGTTTATGCAAAGCCAAACCTTTTTTTTTGTTTTGGATAGAGTGCAGAAAGATTAGAAATTTTGTCAGCTCTCCATCACTGTCTGTGTCCCCAAGATTCACACTATTTGTTCTCATGACCTTTTTCACCAAGAAAGAAAGCGATTGGAAATCCAAAGGTTTATAGCTTTCACCAGCACAGAAGGTTATTGTTATTCTTCTAATGGGGACACCTGTGCAGGTGAAAGCTTGGCTATAGAGCAAACGTTGTTGAAAGTATTCATTGTAACCTATAAATTAGAAGCTCCCCATCACCTTTCAAGCCATGGGTTTGCACCCATCCCTGTCGCCTTTCAAGCCATGGGTCCGCACCCATCCCTGTCGCCTTTCAAGCCATGGGTCCGCACCCATCCCTGTCGCCTTTCAAGCCATGGGTCCGCACCCATCCCTGTCGCCTTTCAAGCCATGGGTCCGCACCCATCCCTGTCGCCTTTCAAGCCATGGGTCCGCACCCATCCCTGTCGCCTTTCAAGCCATGGGTCCGCACCCATCCCTGTCGCCTTTCAAGCCATGGGTCCGCACCCATCCCTGTCGCCTTTCAAGCCATGGGTCCGCACCCATCCCTGTAGCCTTTCAAGCCATGGGTCCGCACCCATCCCTGTCGCCTTTCAAGCCATGGGTCCACACCCATCCCTGTCGCCTTTCAAGCCATGGGTCCGCACCCATCCCTGTCGCCTTTCAAGCCATGGGTCCGCACCCATCCCTGTCGTCTTTCAAGCCATGGGTCCGCACCCATCCCTGTCCCCTTTCAAGCCATGGGTCTGCACTTATTACGGTCACCTTTCAAGCCATGGATCTGCACCCATCCCTGTCACCTTTCAAGCCATGGGTCTGCACCCATCCTTGTCACCTTTCAAGCCATGGGTCTGCACACATCCCTGTCACCTTTCAAGCCATGGGTCTGCACACATCCCTGTCACCTTTCAAGCCATGGGTCTGCAACCATTCCTTGCAATATTTCATGCTACTTTGATGTCACAAGTCATGTGGGAGCCAAGCAGGAAATTTTCTAAATGGATCATGGGAGATTGTGCTTTTTCTATTTCCAAATTACTCTATGAAATGCCCTAGAGGAACGACCCCATCAGTAACACATTTACCCAAATACTTTTATCAAGTATTTAAAATGGGACTGCATACAAAAGTAAAAAGGGTTACATTTTAGCATTACTATGTACAAATACATTTTAAAAATGACTGAAGAAATGGTCCTATGTAACTTACCCTTTACTGTGACCTTCTGTGTGTGAACTTGCCCCAGAACCTGAACTCTCCCATTCCTCTCCTGGCACACACTCGCACTCTCTGAGCATGCGCTAGGACCCTGGTTCACTCGCTGACAAAGGTTTAAATAATACCTGTACATCATAAACAATACAAAATAAAGAATAAAAGTAGGTGAATTACCACTAAACTGATGAAAAAAGTACAATAGAAAAATATATACAAAAAATATATATTAAAAATTATACAAAACAAGCTTGCTAGTTCTGTTTGCAGAAACAGGCAGACAGCATATATGTTGTTTCAAAGGGGATGGGGGACCTGCACCCACATAATCAAAATTAGGGATGCACCAATGCCGATACAGAAGATTTTCATGAGTACTCTTACTCGTGAAAATGCTCTGATATCCAAAACCAATACATTGCAGTGTAATTTACATCCATACAAAATGTATGGACGCAAATTGCACTGCAAAGAATAGCGTGCGATTTGAACAGAAATGTGGTGCGATTCCTGTCCAAACCGCATCTGGTTTCCCCATCGCTCCTGTGGGAACCTAGGCTTGTCATAGCATGCGTTCACACAGGAGAGGTGCGGGAAACCTCCCTGCACCAATCCCATGCTGTCACACAACAAAAAGTCGCTTCACAGGTCAGTGGATTTGAAATCCCTGCCGCTTTCTCTTCTCTCCTTGCATGAACTACATGGCTTCTGATTGGTTAGGACTGTCACAACAAGCCTGACAAGCCTGGGTTTCGCACAGGAGCGATGGGAAACTGCATGCAATTTTGACAGGAAGATGAAACGCTTTCCCGATCAAAACGCATGCGATTCTTTGCGGAGTGATATGCGTCCATACATTTTTGTATGGACACAAATCGCACCGCAAAGTATCGATACTCCGTGTTGGCAGGTACTTGACCGAAAGTAATGGTACTAGTACTCGCCGAATACTAAAAAGGGTCCCTAATCAACATCACTACAGGGATTTTCATCTCTTGAAATGCAATTTTTCAGCGTTGCTTTCACTTTTACCCCTTTTTGAGCTAAGGAGGATTCCTTTTATATGCTATTGTCTGAAATCATAATAAATAATTTCCAGCTTCTTAAAGTGGTTGTAAAGGTTTAAAGGATAAGTTCACCTTTTGGACAAAAATAATAAATGCACATTTTTTGCAGGTAAAAAAAAAAAAAAAAAAAAGTAAAAAAATGCATTTATCATTTTTGTTTACAGAAGCCTGGAAAGCATTGCACCATCGATCAGTAGATCGCTGGTGCCATGCAGGTCTCCTGCAGACAGGATGTACGAGCAAGCAGATATTCTGACAGGAAACTTCAATGAACTACCGTGGGGCTCCACAGCGCTCTGGTACTGCATTGAAAACTACAAGTCAACAGTCGCTAAGGCTGCCAGGACTTGTAGGCACTCTTTCACAGAACTCTGTGAATGAGTGACACGGCCGTGTGGGCGGAGCACCGCACGGCCATGCTGTTTTTAAATCTGACAGATAGTATGGGGGGACATGTAACTTGTTCCAAAATGTGAACTTATCCTTCAAAAGGTTATTGTTACCTTCATCCTCTTCATTAAAAGGTAAAAAACCTTCCATGGTCAGCTCCTTCTCAGCCCCCCCCCCCCCCCCCCCCCCGCCGCCCCCATAAATACTTCTGAGCCCGATCTCAAGCCAGTGCTGTGTCCGAGAGCAGGGGCATTGCACTCTCACCTCACAGGACATGGAGGCAGCAAAAGCAGCTACTAGCTCCTGCTGCTGTCAATCAAATCCTGTGGGGAGAAAGCAGGGGGACAGAGCCGAGCTAAGCTGTCTGTGTCAATAGATGCACACAGCCCAACACAGGATAAAGCCTGCAAAAGTGCCCCCATAGCAATCGGCTTGCTATGGGGGCACTCAGTGTAGAGGAGGAGCCTGAAGCGCTGGCAGGGGAACCCAGAAGAGGAGGTTCGGATATGCTCTGTGCAAAACCATTGCACAGAGAAGGTAAGTATGACATGCTTTTTATTTAAACAATTTAACAGATAACTTTACAATCACTTTAATAACATATAGTAAAACACATTGATAAAGTTAAGTGGAATAAAATAACATATGCAACTTGGAGAAACTTACTTGCTACCATCTGCAGCAAAAGACCAGGATCCAGTCAAGGAAGAGAGCATCCTTAAGTCATAAGACTTATGATCGATAATAAACTTGCAATCTAACTTTGTTGGAAGGCATACCAGCTTTGTTTTCCATTCAAATGTGGCTGAGCAGCCCTTGGTGTCACTGACCAATGTAGGAGCTCCTTTTGCAACACGTTCATCACATTTAAACAAGATAGTGGAGCTTCTTCTCTCAGATGCTAAAGAAACAATTTATTACAGGTGTCAGTCAGGCATATACCCTTCATTCTCTACTTCTGGAAGTCAGATGACCGTCCATAATGCAGTGGAATCAAAAGTAAATTGGTAGCTTTCACCCATATGCACAATGAGGAGATTCTCCGACATAATAATGGTAGATATCATTTGGACCATCCAATGTGGACAGAAAAATTACTATATTGGTCCTGTTGGCCATTTTTACTGGAGTAGAAAATGATCAGAATTCCAACCATCAAGTGTTGGCCTCCAAACAGATATATAGGGGGGATTTTCTAATGGAACACTTGTTCTGAGGTATTTCCCTTCATTTTTAGAAATGTACTCATTATCTTTTCCATCTCTGTGACAAGTAGTAAAAATAAATCTCAACATGACCAAAAAAACCAAACACATTGACAGGGGTTTTAATGCTTTTCTACTCTAGCCAAAATTACGGAAAAAAAAAGTTTTGGGTTAATGTATATCAATATTATGTAGCCTCAAAGGGAAAAAACTATTCAGTCTCTGATTGCTTAAGAAGATACAGTCAGGTCCATAAATATTGGGACAGCGACACAATTCTAACATTTTTGGCTCTATACACCACCACAATGGATTTGAAATGAAACGAACAAGATGTGCTTTAACTGCAGACTGTCAGCTTTAATTTGAGGGTATTTACATCCAAATCAGGTGTAGAAATTAAAACAGTTTGCATATGTGCCTCCCACTTGTTAAGGGACCAAAAGTATTGGGACAGAATAATAATCATAAAACAAACTTTCACTTTTTAATACTTGGTTGCAAACTTTTTGCAGTCAATTACAGCCTGAAGTCTGGAACGTATAGACATCACCAGACACTGGGTTTCATCCCTGGTGATGCTCTGTCAGGCCTCTACTGCAACTGTCTTCAGTTCCTGCTTGTTCTTGGGGCATTTTCCCTTCAGTTTTGTCTCCAGCAAGTGAAATGCATGCTCAATCGGATTCAGGTCAGGTGATTGACTTGGCTGTTGAATAACATTCCACTTCTTTCCCTTAAACTCTTTGGTTGCTTTTGCAGTATGCTTTGGGTCATTGTCCATCTGCACTGTGAAGCGGCGTCCAATGAGTTCTGAAGCATTTGGCTGAATATGAGCAGATGATATTGCCCGAAACACTTCAGAATTCATCCTGCTGCTTTTGTCAGCAGTCACATCACCAATAAATACAAGAGAACCAGTTCCAATGGCAGCCATACATGCCCACGCCATGACACTACCACCACCATGCTTCACTGATGAGGTGGTATGCTTAGGATCATGAGCAGTTCCTTTCCTTCTCCATACTCTTCTCTTTCCATCACTCTGGTACAAGTTGATCTTGGTTTCATCTGTCCATAGGATGTTGTTCCAGGACTGTGAAGGCTTTTTTAGGCCTTCCTGTTTTTGAGGCTCACCAATGGTTTACATCTTGTGGTGAACCCTCTGTATTCACTCTGGTGAAGTCTTCTCTTGATTGTTGACTTTGACACACATACACCTACCTCCTGGAGAGTGTTCTTGATCTGGCCAACTGTTGTAAAGGGTGTTTTCTTCACCAGGGAAAGAATTCTTTGGTCATCCACCGATCACCGATGCGTTCCTTCTTTTTAAGAATGTTCCAAACAGTTGTTTTGGCCACGCCTAATGTTTTTGCTATCTCTCTGATGGGTTTGTTTTGTTTTTTCAGCCTAATGATCGCTTGCTTCACTGATAGTGACAGCTCTTTGGATCTCATCTTGAGAGTTGACAGCAACAGATTCCAAATGCAAATAGCACACTTGAAATGAACTCTGGACCTTTTATCTGCTCATTGTAATTGGGATAATGAGGGAATAACACACACCTGGCCATGGAACAGCTGAGAAGACAAGCAGATCTTGTTTGTTTCATTTCAAATCCATTGTGGTGGTGTATAGAGCCAAAAATGTTAGAATTGTGTCGATGTCCCAATATTTATAGACCTGACTGTACATAGCCATGTAGTTGAACGAGAAGTGGTTTCACCCTAAACTGCACAGCGGGTTCTTTATTGTTAGATCGGTACGGATGTGGAACTCCCTTACGCAAATGGTGATGTCAGCAGAAGTTGGCAATTTAAAAAAAAAAAAACCTTATGGATGGGCATCTTGGTGAACACAATATACGGGGTATGGGAAATGGTAGAGACATAAATACACACAACTTCACCCATACTGGTAGAACTGAATGGAAACGTAACTATATAAAACTATATCCAGTCAGCAGATGGAACACTAGACTATTTTTTACATGTACGCTTTCTCACTTTCTGTACTGTCCACCATACAAAAGCCTACAGTGATCAGTAGACTATATCCAGTCAGCAGATGGAACACTAGACTATCTGTTACATGTAAGAAATCTCACTTTCTGTACTGTCCACCATAAAAAAGCCTACAATGATCAGTAGAGCAGCTAAATGTACACATATAACTGAATGAATTATCCCTTATCAGACATCTAACACCAAAGCTTCACAAAACGTTGCAAGGCAGGCTAACCAAACTAAAGCCGGTGGCAGAAGGGTTGACTATCAGAAGGTTCACAAGAAACCAGCCAAGATTAGATATATCTATGGGCAGACTACCTGTACTGAAACCATCCATTGGATTTTTTTCAGGCAATTACTGCCAGCAGCTAGAGCCACTAGAAGTGATCATTTTGTTCAGCTGGCAGGGAAGGCTCCCTGCAATAGCTACATGGGAGGCGTTTCCCCATCAACAGTGACTGTGTTGATGGGGGAATAGAGTGATTTTCTTTCCTTCCACCCATGGTGGAAGGAAAGAAAATTGTATCATCCATGACCAGCTTACCCAAAAACCATTAAAGTTTCCTTTCAAAAGCAGCTCCAGGCAAGCTCTGGGAGCAAAAAGGTACCCAACGTTCTGGAGCCTTCCCATCTTTTACGATTAATAAGAATTTTTAATAATTTGCATAAGGGATTTTTTTATAATTTTTTTAATAATTCTTAACAAATTTTAAAATATATACACATACTTCCATGTCTGCTCTAAGTACGTGCTGCCTCTTGATCTGTGCAAAATTATCCTCCCCCATTTCCTTTGCATACAAAGCCTTTTGTTCCTTTTTTTTTTTATATATTTATTCTCACATTTTTCTTATACTATACAATGAGTGGTATATCTTGTGTGTTTTAAAAAGATACAAGTATTTTCCCTTTAGTGTTCAGTATATATATTTTTCATCATATATTATAAATTATCCTATTATTGCTCTTGAGAATATGCCGATCGTTAGGAATGTGCGGCTAGCAATTCCCTAAAAACTATTCAAAAAGTATTTATCTACACCGTAATTAGAAACGATTTCCTGATCTTCACTGATTTGAATTTATCCCTTATCATCAATTGACACTAAGCAGAAGATAGCAACTCACTCTTCTAATAATTTAGCCTGCAATTGATAAAGCTGTCACTAGATGGCGCTGTTCCTATACGTATGGCGGATTTGTGAACTGCAGGCACCTTCAGCCTTTCAAGTATTTATTTATGTCCTGTTTAGTGTCCTATATTAACTAAATATAAATCTCTTAAGGTCCAGTGGGTTCTTGGTCATTTTTCAGCCCTTTGATCTCTCTTTGCTGTACGGGATGTTGTGTCAGAGACTTCCTGCTTCATGATCCTCTTTAATATGGCCCCAGGAACGCACAGCACATGCGCAGTAGTGCTTATTAGCCGGCGTGCGTTCCACTGCCACCTGCAGGCGGCCTACAGTATTTAAGCCATTACTTTAATCGCCAGGCACACTAAACAGGCTGAACTGCTGTAATACTGACACTCAGTGGCTGAATATCTCCTTGCCATGGGAACTCTGCCATACTGAAGTCTCTATCTGCTCAACCCAGGTATCTTTTATAATAACACACACTATTTTATACTACACAATAAATTGAACGCATCCTGTTTTTAAATTTTAAATAGCAATTGTGCTTTTGCATTTACATATATATGTATATATGTTTAGTCTATGGATTCTCTCTATATATAAAAAAAATGTTTTTCCTTTTTTTTTTTGTACGTTTTCTATATATGCACCTTTTCTGTATGAGATTTTTGACATTATTATTATTATTATCACTATACGTATTACCATGAGTATTTTCATGTGTATTGCTATGCTCATCTAACAGTATCGCCACCTGTTATACCATCATGATTCATGTAAATGGTTTGAGGGGAATTTGTATTTGTATTTGTTTTTTTTATCAGCTCTGATGAAGAAGGGAACACCCTTCGAAACGCATTAGCCTTCATCCCCCCACCCCCCCCCTTTTCGATTTACCTGTAACCCTGTTTGGATTATGGTTACTTATGCCTGTTATACCATCACTTTGTGAGTATATTTCCTTATTAATAAAATTAGTCACTATTTATTGAGGTAATGCGCAAGGTTTGTGCGCTCTTGCTTTCATCTTCCTCTACAGTTTTATTAATCTTCCCCAGCTTCATGTTAGAGCTGCACAACCTCTGATCACCAGCGGATGAACACACAACACGCTGCTTGTCACTAACTCCTGTTTGATCTGAGTCTTTGAGCGCAGGAGATAATGGATCTTTGGTGACTGCCTTCCCATCTTGGTCAGAATGCTACAATAAATTTGTCTACCTGTTAAAAAGATATGTCTGAAAATTGAATCACAGTGAGAACATCTAAAATTATCACTGTAGACCTAAGCATAAATTTATGTTGTTATGATCTACAATGAGATAGGTGCTTCTATGTTTTTTTCAATTAATTGTATACAGATTTCATCCCACATTTCTCTGCCTAGGTTTACCTTTCTGCTCCTTCATAAGGAGCTCCAGCTAGGACTATTAAATCTTTTTACTATTATGCCAAACTGCCTATCAAACTCAATTAAAAAAAAAAAAAAAAAAAAAAAAAAAAAATTGAAATTGTTGTAAGGCATACCTGTTGAACAATAATCCCATTTGTTATTTTTCTCAAAATCTGAGGAGGTAGGACACCATGGCCGAAGTCTCTCTTCAGAAATACATGTGCTATAAGTTTTTCCTTTATATGTAAATGGCAGAACACAGACGTCATCACTTTCAGTCACTATATAAAAAAAAAAAAAAAAAAAAAAGTATAAATGACAAGATAATCTATTAACAGAGAAAATAAGAGTATGTTCAGAACTTGCATAAAGGCAGCAACAATTTGTACAAATGTGTTACCAAATCACAAGGGTGGATCTATGCATTAATTACTAAACATTACTGCACATGTGTGATTTATTAGGAGTGCTTTTACCTGGTGGACAAGGATCTCCTCCAACATAACGAAGAACTAACATATCTTGTAAATGGCTATACTCCATTTGCATTGCCTTTGTATTTCCATAGGAAAAGGCAGTATTTCCTGACTGAAGGCACACAGCCCCATCACATTTACCAGATGGTATATTTTCTGCTGCTGAACATACGCCAATGTAGTAGGGGTTTAAACCTGATGTCTGAAAGAAAAAGCAAGTTCATATTATTCGTGTTCACGTGCAGCAGTGGAGAAAGTAAATACATGTGAAACTCAAAAAATTTGAATATCATGCAAAAGTTCATTTATTTCAGTAATGCAACTTAAAAGGTGAAACGAATATATGAGATAGACTCATTACATGCAAAGGAAGATAGTTCAAGCCGTGATTTGTCATAATTGTGATGATAATGGCTTACAGCTCATGAAAACCCCAAATCCACAATCTCAGAAAATTTAAACATTGTGAAAAGGTGCAATATTCTAGGTTCAAAATGTCCCACTCTAATCAGCTAATTAAGCCATAAAACACATGCAAAAGGGTTTCTGAGCCTTTAAATGGTCTCGCAGTCTGGTTCAGTAGGAATCACAATCATGGGAAAAACTGCTGACCTGACAGTTGTGCAGAAAACCATCATTGACACCCTCCATAAGGAGGGAAAGCATCAAAAGGTAATTGCAAAAGAAGTTGGATGTTTCCAAAGTGCTGTATTAAAGCACATTAATAGAACGTTATGTGGAAGGGAAAAGTGTGGAAGGAAAAGGTGCACAAGCAGCAGGGATGACCGCAGCCTGTAGAGGATTGTCAGGAAAAGGCCATTCAAAAGTGTTGGGGACTTTCACAAGGAGTGGACTGAGGCTGGAGTCAGTGCATCAAGAGCCACCACACACAGACGGATCCTGGACATGGGCTTCAAGTGTCGTATTCCTCTTGTCAAGCCGCTCCTGAACAACAAACAACGTCAGAAGCATCTTGAACTCTCCAAAAGCCTTAACATTTAACTTTGGCCACAAAGGTTTTTTTTATCCTTGCAACAGATGTATGATTTGTGTTGAAAATGGTATACATAAGAGACCGGTAAAAACCTGTGTGTCTAATACCACTAAGAGGACTTATGAGATCAAAAGTACCATTACTTGCAATAGTACATATGTTGTTTACCTTTTAGAATGTGGCTGTGGTAAGCAATATGTTGGGAGGACGACAAGGAGGTTACGTGACAGATTGCGTGAGCACCTTAAGAATATTAAAAAAGGTTTTAAGGATCACTCATTATCGTTACATTATCGGCAATGCCATAATAAAGATCCCAAATGCTTGAAATTTGCTGCTATAGATATCATTAAGCCGCATTGGAGGGGTATTTTTAAAAGAGATCTGTCTCAAGGTTAGAAACCAAGTGGATATATGAGCTTCAGTCTTTTTTCCCCTCAAGGTTTGAATATAGATCTAGATATTAACTGTTTTATTGACACAAGTTAATACCATTTATTTATTTTTAATGATCTGTATTGGTTTTAACTTGGAGAATTCCCCCCCCCCCCCTTCCTTTTTTATTATATACTGTTTTCTGGTTTTTATTATTCGCATATCATTATGATTATAACTTTAGTCCATATGATTAATTCTAGATAAATCGAGCTTTCATGGGTTCTAATTTATGTGTTTTGTATTTTAAATGCAGTGTCTATTATGGATTTTTATGTTACTATTAGATTGATTTATGCACCATGTGGAATATACTTGGTGTATATATGTTTTTATATATTATGGTTTTTACACATTATCTGGAATGTAAGTTATCCGGCTCACTTACTAGTAGTTGTCATGGTTTTATTATTTATGATTATTTTTACTCGCTATTAGCCATTATTTAGGACCTTTGGATTGTATTTACTGTGTATAGTCTGTGAATGATATATTTATTGTACTTTCATTATCAGTGGAATCGGCCTGGGGGACCTTTTTAATTATTAACTGATCGGACTCCACTATAATGGAGTCTGGGTTATCCCCATAGGAATTCAATATTACAGTAACACGATCTTTATCATTTACTATCTTTACTGCAATTACCTATTGAATTAATCAATACTCTTTAGCTTCCTGTGGTTTGGATATTGTTTTAGCCAAGGAGGAGATGCGAGATTATTTATTTTATGAAGAGACATGACACTATCTATCTTGAGCCGAGATAACCGATAAAATGGCTGCTGTTGTATGCATTGCGCATGCGCGAGCGGGCCAAGATGGCGTCTCAGGCATTTATTGTTTACCACGCATGCGCGGAATTTTCTATATATACACCTTTGTCCAGCTAGTGCGCGCTCCCTTTGATAACGTGCTCGTCCTCACGAAACGCGTTAGCGTGGAGCCTAGCCGGTGACGTCACGCCGCCCCGCCCCTCGTGGAGGCCGGTGGCCATCTTTGTTTCTGGGCTACCCTATGTGAGTGTACTGCATTATGTCCAAATAAAAACATCTGAACATACTACACTATCAGTGCTTTTTTGGGGTGGGCTGTATGGTTGAGCCCCCCCCCCCCCTTTCAAGGTGATCTATTTTGAGTGCCCTGCTCTGAGGAGTCCTGACTAGCTGTATGACAACCGTTGCTGGATGCCTGGTGACCCCTGCTGGTTAAAGGAAGGAGCATCTCCATCAGAGTGACAGCCTGCTAGATGACCCACATTGCCTCAGCCTTCTAGTACCAGGAGTGGTCCGACAACTCAAATGTGCGCATATTATGCGCTTTCTGGTGAGTGCATATAGTTTACCCACCTATGAGCACGGAGTCGACAGCATTTGCACCTATTACTGGGACGATTGATATATCACCTGAGGACGTTATTTTCACTTTAAGCACTTTAGCCATCACCTATTTTAATTTTATTAGACGCATGATGTATATATGAGTCATTGCTTATCCTTTTTTAGCGCTGCATATGTTTTTATTATTTATATTGTGAAGGTTTGGGTTTGTACCTTTATGCTAGCTGCTCATTACTCATTTCCAAGCGCTCGTTAAGGTTTTATTGTTTTGTCAGAAGCGTCTTACCTGGGCTAAAGAAAAACAGACCTGGTCTGTTGCTCAGTGGTCCAAAGTCCTCTTTTCTGATGAGAGCAACTTCTGCATCTCATTTGGAAACCAAGGACCCAGAGTATGGAGGAAGAATGGAGAGGCACACACTGCAAGATGCTTGAAGCCCAGTGTGAAGTTTCCACAGTCTGTGTTGATTTGGGGAGCCATGTCATCTGCTGGTGTTGGTCCACTGTGCTTCATTAAGTCCAGGGTCAACGCAGCCGTCTACCAGGAGATTTTGGAGCACTTCATGCTTCCTTCCGCAGACGAGCTTTATGGGGATGCTGACTTCATTTTCCAGCAGGACTTGGCACCTGCCCACACTGACAAAAGCACCAAAACCTGGTTCAATGACCGTGGGATTACTGTGCTTGATTGGCCAGCAAACTCGCCTGACCTGAACCCCATAGAGAATCTATGGGGCATTGCCAAGAGAAAGAAGAGAGACATGAGACCGAACAATGCAGAAGAGCTGAAGGTCGCTATTGAAGCATCCTGGTCTTCCATAACACCTCAGCAGTGCCACGGGCTGTTAGCTTCCATGCCACGCCACATTGAGGCAGTAATTGCTGCAAAAGGGGCCCAAACCAAGTACTGAGTACATATGTATGCTTATACTTTTCAGAGGTCCGATATTGTTCTATGTACAATCCTTGTTTTATTGATTGCATGTAATATTCTAATTTTCTGAGATTGTGGATTTGGGGTTTTTATGGCTATAAGCTATAATCATCACCATTATGACAAATCACGGCTTGAACTATCTTGCTTTGCATGTAATGAGTCTCATATATTAGTTTCACATTGATATAAATAAATGAACTTTTGCACAATATTCAAATTTTTTGAGTTTCAACTGTAGTGCAGTTACACTATATGCATAAGAACATATTGCAAGAGGAAAGTCTAAATTTCTGGTGCCCAATCTATGGACATTTGGCACTTATTTTGATCCCTTGGAGACCCCTTGCACATTCAAGCTGCTGAATACAGATATTCTTTGGACTGGGTTTTAGTAGTTAAATGGTTTAGTTTCTTTCCTATACACTACCTTGCTTTTTCTGTACTGTCACTGCTTTTTTTTTTTTGTGTGCGTTTTCCCCCTCCAATTTTTATAAGGATTTTTGCTGTTGCACAAGTCATTTTTAAGTTGGTTATAAAAAGCAAAAATGTGGTTATGTAAAGGGGCTTTAATAATAATGATCTCAGGCAGTCTGATGTAATGAATCTCCAGTTTTTGACTGCCTCCTGAAGTATGCCCCCAATTTCCAACTAATATAGTATTTGTACAGTCTCTGACAACACCTCTTGCAGCATATCTCCATTCTTTGACCAATCTTCTGTTGCATGTCTGCAGCCTCTGGCAGTTTTCTGTAGTACTGCATTTACGTAACAGTATATGTGGCCATTTGGAGAGAACAGTGGCCATACTTGAAACTCCCTTACTTACTTCGTGGCCTGCCAGAGGAAACATTAGAACGTTTGGAAATATAAACAAGTACAAACAGTAAAGCCGGGGCAGGGACCAGCTGAGCTTCGAACCATTTATGGGCAGGCTGACTGTACCTAATTCGACAGCTATATGACTTGGGTACAAACATCCTGTCTGATTTTTATGGTATCACTGCCAGAGGCTATAGCCAGTAGCAGTAATCACTGTGTTCTCCCAGCGGAGACGGGAGAACACAATAGCTTGTGAGAGGGATCCCCCCCCCCCCCCCATCAAAAAAGTCAGTGTTGATGGATGCCAAGGGTTGCAGGAAAGAAAATCACATAATCGGTAGGCACTCCATTCTTCCCATAACTGCTCCCATTCTCCAATAGGCAATGCAGTTAGACTCCAAGTAAAAGTCTATTCAGTAAGTATTAAAGAACATGTAAGATCAGATCTTGAAAATCTTTGTTGAATGCCTCAGGGGACCAATTAAATGTAGCACTTGGTCACTGTAACGGAACCAACCCAGACTGCACTTGAGTACTTCCATTAGACTACCGCTTCCCTGTCCAAACACCGACAACAGACACCACAG